TGTGTGTGTGTGTGTGTGTGTGTGTGTGTGTGTGTGTGTGTGTGTGTGTGAAGATCTATTGGAAAATAGAACATGAATTACGATCTTACAGCTGCATGCCTCAGCTAAGAAGGCACACAGCAGCTTCCATTGTTCTCATTTTTAATAATACTGAGTCTGGCACAAATAAAGGCCAGAAAAAAGGAAATTGTTAGTTTAGCGTGAACAACCAGATTTTGGCCAGCAAACTATAACCAGTTAATCTTGAGTTTGAGGGGATTTTTGGGCTAATAAATTCAAATTCTCTGCAGTTATCCTCAGAATAGGAAAACGGATGTACAGAAAAAAAAAAGCCAAACAGCTAAAAAGCAACAAAAGTGGGATTAAGCACTGAGCCGTTACCTCAGAATGAACCCTCTGAACATGAGAGTGAAGGTTCCCCTTCTGGGAGAAAGATGCAGGGCAGAACATGCAGAGGTGAGGTTTCTCTCCCGTGTGTTTCACCATGTGAGTCTGCAGCACCACCTTCTGGTTGAAGGCCTTGTTGCAGTGTGTGCACTTGTAGGGTCTTTCACCTGAAGCAACGGGAAGGGTCAGTTATAACATGAAGACTTAAAGACCTAGCAGTGATTACTTTCTGGAAACTTTATTCAAATCTGTAATACTTTGCTTACAGACCACACAGGAGAAAGGAATTGTAGCCATTTTTGTATTGGTTAAAATTGCTTTCCTGCAGCAGTCATAATGAATGAGGTTAGCTCCCAAACTTAATCAGTTTTACCTGTACATACACTTCTGATGGATTCATTTAATTCTGCTTTTGATTGTGGTTAGGATTAAATTCATTTAATAAATTGATCTTATAAAAAGACGGAGAAAGGATTCACACTTTGGCAAAAACAATTTCCCACCTCTTTAGTTTCTTTCAGCAAATCAACAGCAAGAAGACACTATGTCAGTGAAATACAAAATAAAAATATTTTATTTTAATCCCAACATTTGACTTTGCCAAAAAAGTTAATTTTTATATCAGTACAACCACCCAATTCTGTCCGCATCACCTGTAGAACTTGGATCTGAGTAAAAATAAACCAATATTGACTTATCTGTACATTATACTCAGACTGTGTGTGTGTGTGTGTGTGTGTGTGTGTGTGTGTGCGTGTGTGCGTGTGTGTGTGTGTGTGTGTG